TGAAACCCGCTGTATTGCTTATCCTGGCCAAACTCGACAGCATCACTTTTGAATCCTTCTTTTCAGCTGGACAGCTACTTGAACTGTGATTCTCTCATCCAGCATTCAACCTTTCCTCCCAAATTTTGGTACCCTGCAAATATGGTAAATGTATATTTAAAAAAATACATACAGTCTGTTAAGAGTAAGTAGAACCTCTTTGGCCATGATACTTGAGATGATTCTCTCAGTCAGGGTTTAGCCAGCTGTGGCCTAAGCCCACCTGGCCTCCTGTATTTGTAAATACAATTTTGCTGGCATCTAGCTGTGCTCGTTCACTTATATACTGTTTACAACTGCTTTTGTGCAAATGGCAGAGCTGAGTAGTTGCAACCCAGCTTTTTATAGGAAAAAGTTGGCTGACTCCTGCCCTAAGGCGAAAGCAGCTGGTAAATGAACACGTTTTATGTTCATGTAGATGCTGCATTCTGTTTCTAAGCAAGACTATCCAAAACCCTTTCCAAGGCTCATTAGTCAAGGCTTTTTATGACTTCTTTTTGTGGCTTGTTCAAGTATTTTATGGGGAAAAATATGGTTATATAATCTTATTTGTGGATTCTAAAATCACAGTCTATATTTGCTTTTTCTTTTTCTCTTCTAATGTACTAGTATTTGAAAGCTTATGTCCGTGTTACTACTTCAGCTGTCTCTTTCAAATTGGGGTACTGTTATCACCAGAAATTTCCTTTAGGGTTTTAGGGGCAGTCCTTGATTTGGTATTCATTTTTCACTGGGGAAGAAGAATCACATTTTGGCATTAGAACGTTTTAGTAACACTCATTACTAACAAATATAATACTTCTGTGAAATTTATAAAAGGAACTGAGAGATTCCATGGAGTCTCCAGTCTATTTTGAGAAAAAGAAGAAAACAATCCTCATTGCTCAACCAGCATTGCCTTGCTGAAGATTTAGTCGCCACTCTGTTATTTTGTTCTTGAACAGAATGCTTAAGGTTCAGTTCAAAAGTTACATAACCAGATATTTTAAAGAAAAAAATGATAATTTTAAAGAAAAAACTTTTAATCAAAAAATTTTATGAAAAAATTGGATATAGTGGTATCAGAACCTTTCCTTACTCTGGATATTTCCTTGTTAACCTGCAAACAGTAAGACAGAAATCCCATATATTCTTGTCCTACACTAGTGTTAGACCTTGGGAGTCAGATATTGCATCAAATTAATTCTCCAAGTGAAGGACATACTTAATGACCTAAAATTGCTCATGTGTAATCTTTGTGGCCTGGTCCTTTTGTGAAGCACAATGTTTCCTCCACAGTATAGAGTTTTAGGACTCACATTTTAAAAGGCCTTTATATGTCTGTGTTATTAATGCCTATATCTAGCGTTTACAGGGCATTTCCTACGTCCTACTCTGATGGTGAATGGAGCCAGTTGGATCTCTTCAGCCTCCTCTGCTTATTTTCAGCTTCTTCAGCTGCGTTAGTGACACCAGGATTGCTTGCAGTTCTGTGTCCTGAGGTTGCCATTTCCCCTCCCTCTTTACTCTTAACTCTTTGCCTGAAGAACTCCGATGCCCTGTTTCGGGCTCAGGTCTGTTTTCTCCCCTTCCAGAAGTCTTCTCTCACCCAGTCAGCGTCTTCTGTGCAGCTTGCCTGTGCAGTGTGATGCTGGTACATTTAGATCTCCTGGAAATGCTCTTCCCTGGGATGAACCTCACTGCTCACCTGCTCCCTGTGTTGCTAGAGAAAATCTCACAACTTCACAGATTCCTGTTTACTTATCTAAAGGGCCTGCAGGCTTGCCTAGGAATGTTCATGTTTCTCTAGGAAGTGCCCTACTCACTGTTTGAAGATTCTTTCCTTCATTCTCCTATTCAAACTTTCTCCTATGCTCAGACTCTCTTATAAGTGGCCTTGCCTTGTACTTCATGGAAAAAAGAACCATCAGGTAGCAGGTCCCCCAGCCTCTCTTCATGAAATCTGCACGCTCATTTGTACTGATACTTGTGTTCTCCTTACATCCTGTTACAAGGGAGGGAAGGAGCCCTACTCCTGTGACAAGACAACACCCATGTGTGGGCAGCATCTCATCTCCTCCCACATTCGAAAATTTGAACCATCTTTTCTGGATTCTTCATGTGGGCATTTAGATGTTTTACTACCTTTGCGGTGTCTCCTAGAATCTCAGATTTAATGTAATTCCTTAGTGCTTGCTTCCAGTTGCTTCTCAAAATTTTCCTATTTCAATAAAAGGTATTCTTATACAGTTGCTCGTGGCAGAAATCTGGGAGTGACCCTGGAAACGCCTCCCTTTCCCACATTCTGTCTATCACCAGTTACTTTGATTCCACCTGCAAATATCTCTGAAAACGGTCTCCTCTCAATTTTTATTAGCATGACCTTATTCCAACCCCGAGAGAATGTGCCATTCTAGAAGCCTCCTAGCACATCTTTCTCCTTCCAGTTTTCCTCACCTCTAATCTCTTTTTCTCAGAGAAGCCAGAGTAATCTTTAAAAGATCTAAATAATCATTGTATTAGTTCCCTGCTTAAAACCCTCCAGTGGCTTTCATCATGCCCCAAATAAAAGAACTCTTTGCCTGGGCCTACAGGGCCCTGCATGTTCTGGTCCCTTGCCTTCACTCCTCCCTTTCCATCCACTTCTTTGTTCTTTATGCCCCCAGCCACACAGGCCTTTTGCTAGTTACTGTAATACACAGATTCCTCACCTTAAGCCTTTTGGACTCTGCTGGCTTCAGGCTGGAAACCATTTCCCTTCCTCTCTGCACCCCTAATCCCTGCTCATCTTTCAGATCTGAGCTTAAATGTCATTTCTTGGATGGAGCTCTCCTGAGTCGTTTTTTCCTTATAAATCCTCTAATAAATTCCTCACCTTAGCCCTACTTTTCTCCATATGAAGGGATTACTAGAATTTACTTATGCATTTACACATTTACTTATGCATTCACTTGTGCAACCTGTGTCTCCCGTGCTAGACAGTAAGTTCCAGGAGGGCAGAGACTGTACTAATTTTGTTCAGAGTCGTGTCACCAGCACCTGGGGCTGAATGCTCAGCAAATACTTGTTTCATGAAATACAAGTTTATTGAGATGGCTGCTTGGGACGGGGAAGTCCCCATGTGGTACTTTTAGGCTCATACTTACATGGTTTTGAATCTCTGCTTCTATCTTCTATGCACTTGAGCAGCTCCTAGCCCCTGTGTTCCCAGCACGTCATGCTGGGCTGACTTCTTTCTTGAGTGGGCCAGCCACCATGGAGGATGTATGTGTGTATATACACTCGCACACATGTGTGCGTGTGTATATATATGTTTATATGTAGGTTTATGTAGGAACACGATGTGGAAGCTAGGCAGCAACACTAGTGCTCATAGAAATGTGCCTTAAATTATTTTGAGATGTTGTGTGTGAGTTGGATCACTTTGAAAACGTATGGCAGACCCTCTCCTATCTGCTGGAGGCATTCCATATTGTTCTGAGTGGTTGGGAATTCCTGGTATGTGCTTTGTCCTTGCTCTGTTCTTTAGTACAAAGGATTTTCTGGTTTGCCATTGTTGTAGGTCACACGGTCAACAATGTAAAGAGGATAAAATTAAGGTATTTTGAAAAGGATCCCTTTTCCTTGACTAGTTGTTGCTGTTAATTCTCTTAGTTCCCTATTGCCCCAGCTCCTTGATACCTAAGTGACAAATTGTCAGGGTGGGAGTGAGTAGAACCCTAGGAAGAGAGTTCAACTTCTAAGCCTCTCAAGTAGGCACAGTCACTTTGAGGATTCCCTATCTCACAGTATGAATGGTCTCTTTGGGAGAAATCCTTACCTAATGGAACATTGCAAAGAAGCCTTTGGTTAAATTCAGAATCCTTTCTTTTCCTTTTTTTTTTAGAAAAAAATTTTGAAGATTTTATTTATTTGAGAGAGAGATTGAGCAAGAGAGCATGAGGGGAGTGAGGGTCAGAGGGAAGAAGGAGAAGCAGATTTCCCACTGAGCAGGGAGCCCAGCTCAGGGCTGGATTTCAGGACCCAGAGATCATGACCCGAACCGAAGGCAGATGCTTAACCGACTGAGCCATCCAGGTGCCCCAGAATCCTTTCCTTTTCTAAGTCATTTATGCTTTCTATAATTTAAAGCTTGGATTTCTAGGGGCTTTTTTTTTGTAAAAAAAGGAATGGCACACTGTTGTATTTTGAGGTTTCCTTTTCTATCCTGAATATTTTTGATCTCCTGGAAATACAGGATGAGAAAACCACTACCCACCTGCATATTGTTAAATGCATTTTCCTTAGGTAATTATTCCCTTTTGTTTGTATTTTTAGCATTGTTTTTTGTATATTCTGTCTTAAAATGAAAAGCCCCAAACCAGTCAATATAAGAATGAGTGCAGTTGTGGTTGGACTCTGTGTATGGCTCCTAGCATGTTGACTTTCCCCTTCTGTAACTGTTTGCCAGCACCCCCAATGTTTACTTTGTTGTGACTGCTTTGCTGATTTACCTTACATCCTCAGGAGGAATTTTCAATAAGACCAAGTGTATTTAAACTTGTAGCCACAGACCTAACCCTTTACATAATGTAGTCTGCTAACTAATAAAGGAATGTAGTTGACTTGTAAATTCCTGAGGAGGGGGAGGGAAAAAAATCTCAAACAGAAGTGTCCTGTTAATGAATGTGATAGACCCCTTTGTTGTTTAAAGACAGCCCTCTTGCTCTTTCCCAGAAGAAAGAGCTGTGTTGGGGCTGCTTGTTGCACATTTCACTGGCACTCTGCCCCACCTCCTCTTCCCTGAAAATATTTACGGAGATCTAGCGTGTTAATAAATTTAGAAGCGATTTAATGTTTGCATTGGCAGGGTGAGATAAGGTAGTTAAAATATGTTGTTCATTTTATTTCTGGGTGGGGTCGAAGAGGGAAATGAAATACTGATTTTTTTCCTTTAGGGAAACCTAATACTGTGTTCTTTTGTTATCATTCTTGTTCTCTAGGCATTAAGTGTAACTGAAACCCTGATTAAACCCTTGGAAAAATTCAGAAAAGAACAACTTGGAGCCGTAAAGGTTTGTGTCTAATTTGAGCGCACTTGTAAGCGGACGATGGCGGTGCCTCCGCTATGTCTAGTGTATGCTTAGTTGCATTTGGCAGCTTTGAAGGAGATGCTGGAGTAAACCATCTGCTGTTTTATGTTTTCAATGTGCTTTTTCCCCTTTGGGCGATATGAAATTGTAAACAAAACAAAAACACCTGGGCAGGATTGTAAAACCTCTAGTCGTCTTTGGCTACACCTTCCGACACCGGGTTTTGAAAACATCCTTAACCAAACAGCACGTTCACTCGGAATAGAAGCATTTTACCTCTGTAGGGAATGCAGTTACTTCCTTGTATGCCTCAGTTTTATTGGAGGAGTGTAGCAGGACGTGAGGGTTTAAGATCAGAAACGCAGCTACACCATGATGCCATTGTGAAACTAGGAAGAGAATATTGGGTTATTGGGATGTAATTTCCTTCCACTGAACACAAATTTACTGAGCTTCTGTTATGTGCCAGTATTGTTAGGTGTCGGGGATTCAAAGATGAGTGACCCACAGGCTGTGCTCAAGGATCTGGGAGTTAGCCAGGATTCCTGGGAATAATATGGTGACTTGACCACAGGGAGCCTGGGATATATTTAGCAACTTCTAAAGTTTGTGAACTGAGCTTTGAAATTATCCCAGGGAAATAATTTCCACCAACCTTTCCTGAATTTTATGTATTCACTTGAGGGACAAAAAGTAACATTCGTGTGTTGACTATTTTTGGCCTGGCCCAGAAGAGAATAACATCAATTTTAGGTAGAGAAGAGAGTTTTTATATTTGTATTTTCCTCCCCTACATGGCTTGGGGATGTGATGCTTTTTTCCCTTTATCTTCCTAAACAAAATATTAAAGTCCTTTTGTACAAATAAACATTGTGGCTTCTAGGGCTGTAGCTATAGAGTTGGGCCCAAAGAGCGGCAGCTTTTTAGTTGCTATTTATAGAATCAGTTCTCCTTAAGTGACTTGTTAAAATATTAGACACTTCCTGTTGGCATACTATTTTACCGTTTTTAATGAAGGGCTGTGTTTTGAGAGGGGTTAGTGGGGGTACCCTCCAGGTCCTCTTCCTGGGATTGTTTGCGGAGCTGCACGAGGCTGACTGTGTCTTCTGGCTTTGCAGTAGGTCACTGGAGGTCTGCTTTCACACCTGTGACCTTGGGCAAGTAACTGCCTTTAGTTCCTTATCTGTAAAATGAGAGACCTGGGGATCTGACTGCTCTACTTTGTAGTTTATGATTCTGTTTTAAATCTCGGACATCTTGGTTCTTTCTTTTTTTATACTTCATTGGTAGGTATGGAATGTAAATAGTGTCCATTTATTATTTTTCTTATTTTAATTGGGTGAGGGTGGTGGTGAACGAGGATATATTATGGAAATGAAAAATGAATATGACTTAATATATTTTCTTTTTATTTGCCATACACCCTACTGGTTTTTTCGTTTGTTTTTTGTTTGTTTTTTTTTAAAGTAAGCTCCATGCCCAGTGTGGGGTTTGAACTCACAACCCTCCCAGACCGTGCTCTACCAGCTTGAGCCATCCAGGCAGCCCCCTACTGGGTTTTCATAAATTTCTGACCTGAATTTGCTATTGATGGATGACTCCTCCCTCTGAAACTTTCCCCATTTCTGATGTTATACTTGTTCAGGGTATATCCTGTAAGTACCTGGCAGGATAGATTGCCATATTAAAAGAAGAAGTTATTTTAGTAGTTTTAGTCTATGCCTTGAGTTGTTTAGTGGCCAAATTCCAACCTGAAGTCTCTCTCTCTTTTTAAATTCCTTTGTTGTTCTCCTGGCTTTAAGTTTACAAAGGATATATCCCATGTTTTTGTTCTGTATAGTATGCGTATTGGCTGTCGCATCATTGATACTCTTCGAGGAGGCCAGTCCTCATGGGTCACAGGGAGAAGCCCTTTTTTTACTGACAGTTTTATATGTTATAATAAAGAGTAGAGAAAGGTGATTTTCTAGGTGACATAGTGCTACATAAACACCTGTTTCATTAGATTGTTCAGTTTTTTAGAGAAAAGACTGTGCTTTCCTTATTTTCTACTAGCTTCCACTCTGCCTTAATACATAAGGTATCTAATTAAATAACCTATTCTGATAATTCTAGAAGAACCTGGGGAGGGTTTGTGATCTGGATACTTGATTTTCTACGTCTGTGCTTCCTAAATATTTAATCATGTTTTGACAAACATATTTTTGTTTCACTGGTTAATTGGGATACTTAAAAATAACTTTATTCTCATAGATAAAAGGTCTTTTTTTAAAAACAGAATAAAGCTTGCTTTTTAAATTTTTTTTATTTTTGTGGGGATTAAAACAAAAAAAAGCCTTTAAAAGTTGACCATAGCAGAATGTTTAAAATATCCTTGTTAGGATGTTGATCTTCTCTTTCTCTTCTCCTTCCCCACCTGGCGTATCCTGCTGTCTGCCTTTTCAACTAGAGCTCTTTCTGTTCCTTTCAGTCTTGGTTTCTCCAGTTTCCAGAATCCTAGTGACGTGTTCATATGGTGGTTTTCGTGTGATCTAAACTGCTAGGTGGTTTTTGCAAGTTGGATTTTTTAAAAGCCCTGAGGTGGTATTTTCTACCATTTGCCTCTGTTTGGATATGTTCTTCTTCTGTCCTGTTTGGTTTGGGCTTATTCCTCTGTTCTTGGAGGTTCTGCTGATTTTCTCGCACGCTTGCCAGCTCCTCTCTGTTGGAAAAATTCCATTTCCCCTCGCAGGACACCCATCCTTCTGTGCTGTGTCACATGAGGTGACTCGTCAGAGTTCCCTTCAAGGCCTAGATCAGTTTTTACTTCCTCTGCAGCTCTTTCCCCTTCCCCGGGGCTTCTCACTTCTCACTTGTGTCTGCACAACCCTTTATCCGTAGCCACTGCCCATTAAATGTCGAATTAGCCCCAGAGGACTAGTACAGGTACTGAACAACGTAGGAGCCTAGTCGGTTGTGTAAAATCTCCAAGAAATACCCCAGCTTGCTAAGACAGTGGGAGAATTAAAAATTGCTCTTTTAGGTATTTGAGCAATCCAGTAATGACAACATGGCTTCTAACAAGGGGCAGCATGCAAGTGTCAAGTAGATTCAATTAAACTATATTGATAATAGAGCCTATTCAAATGCCAGGTTGGAAAGAGCCCATTACCATTTTATTCCATGGAATAAACAAATGTAACCTCAAAGGGTTGAAAAAGATGTTCACTTCATATATTAAAACTGCCTCAGCCATTCACTGACCCTCATGCCAAATGTCTTTTGTGTTTCTAAGACTAGATATCTAATGACTGAATGTTTAATAAAAGTTGATTTCCCAAGATTCTGTAAATGACTACAAAATATGGGTAAAAAGCACATCTATCTAAATAATCTCTCAAATTATGTTTGATAAAGCAGAAAAAAATGATTTAATATAATTACATTTCTTTCATTTTAGTTATAAAACACTTCCCAGTGCCTGTCCTATGGCAGGAGGCCCTGGGGTACAACTGTGAATTAAAACCCTGGCTGATTGGCCTTCAACTCTGGAGGAGAGATGTCAAATAAAAAAGCAATAAAAATACACTAAAAAGTGCTATAATTGGGGTAGGCATAGGTGCTCTGGAACATGCCCTGTGATCTCAGCTTTGGAGTACAGGGCAAGTCTCTCAGGAAGACGTGATTCCTTCTTGTTTGAATCCCACTTCGGCCCCTTAGCTAGATGTGTGATTCAGGGCAAGTGACTTACGGCATCTAGCTCTCGATTTCCTGATCTTTAAAAGGAGACGAATGACCCCTGTCTCAGAAGGTTTTTGTGAGGACAGCATGAACGTGATGGTGTATTTCTCTAGAGTAGGGCCTGGCATACGTAGTTGCAATTTATTTTATTATCCCATTTACGCCTTATGCTGCAGCAACTTGCCAAACAAGACTCGCTCGGTTTTTGTCCACTCTCTGCACGCAAGCTTCAGAGATAACATGCGGCATGTGACCCTTCTGGCCAAGTAGTGCTGGCGCGATGGGTAGGTGACTCTGGAGCGACTGCTTGGGACCCCAGGGCGCCCGTCCACTTTGTTGTTGGTGGTGCCTCTGCAGCCACAGGCTTCCTCTTCCACTCCTCCTCTGGCGGGCATCTCCTGGGTGTGGAGTCAGTTGCTAGATTCTGTGGGGAGGAAAGCTGAATTCTCCTTTCTTTGGATAGGCTGATGGGACTTTATAGAAAGGGGGACAGTGGGGTTGGATCAGGCAACTGAAGTGTCAAGCAGGGATATAGGTGACACTTGGTGCAGGAGTTAAGGGGGGTGCGGTTTTTACGCCCCCGAGTGGTAGGGGGGTGCTTCCTGGAAGAGGTGACGTTTCACCTGGGCGTGTAGGAGGTTGGTAGAGCAGGGAAGGAGAACAGGGAAGGCAAAACTCTGGTTGGCTTGGATATCAGGATTGCATTTGAGAAGGTGTCCTGCTGAGTATATTACCTTACAATAAACAAGCGAATCTTGCTTCTTGAATGTGTGGTATTACTCCCATCTTATTTAAGTAAGGAGGGGGAAGAGTTGGAATATCTAAGAAAGTATCTAGTTCTCCAGACTAGTCATGCCTTATTATTTAATGTTTATAGTTGTAAAATAAGCCTTTTCATTTCCTCATCCTAGGAAATTTGTAAAATAACCAAAGCATTTTAAAAAGATCATCTGGGAACTTTAAAAACTACCCTCCCCCTTCTTCTAAAACAAAACAAAAAAATTCTAGTACCCTAAAGAAATGTGGACAATTCACAGTAAATGTTCAAGTTTTTGTGAGTTCTTTATATGTTCCTTATTCATTTTTCAATGGAAATATTATGTGATTTTAGCAAAAAAATGCTTAATCTTAAGAATGTTTTATACATTAAAAATACTTGCTTCTTTTCTTATATATTAATTGCCTCTTCTCCCTGCTTTGTTGTTCACCTTTTAGCTTGTTTATTGTGGGGTTTTGTTTTTGTTTTTTTTTTTTTTTTGGATATCTAGACGTTCTTATGGCTTCTCCCGTTTCTTTTTTTGCTCAAAAGTATGCCTCTGTTCTGATATCTGATGAAACTGTTCTTTTTTATGGCTTCATTTTTTACTTGTGACTCTTTCAGTCCATCTGGAATTAATTTTGATATGAGATGTGGTTCTCTGTTTCCAAGTAGTTAACTAATTATATCAACACTGTTGGCTAAGTATTTTTTTACCCAGTGAATTATGATAAAACCTTAATATATATATATTTATATATATATATTTACTTCTAACATATTCAGAAGACCTGATTACATAAGTTTTATTTCTTAGGTTTCTGAATTTCCTTTACCCATTTATACAGCATACATCTTATTTGGTTAAGCTGTTTTAAATAATAGCTGTTGTTTAGTTTTTTTGGGGGGGGGCATGGGTGGTTTTGTAACAGATTACAAACTGACTTTCAGTGAGTCATACTTAACCTGTAGACATAATTTTGCTTGGCTTACTCATGTGAAAATGTAAAAACAAAACCAAAAACAAACTATCGCCATCATTTAAAAATCTTTGGATTTTTCAAAGCTATTCCAGAAAAATCTAAGGACATGGTTTATATACTAGCCTATATTCCCACATGGTAAAAATCTGCTGGAGCCATGATATGGCCACCTTCCCCTCTAGAATAGATGTGGACGATCTGGTTTTCCATTGCTCCCACCTCTCCTTAATGAGTTCTGTCGTTCTTCACTCATTGTACCTGAGTTCAGGTATAAACTCATTGCCCCCAGCTCAGAATTACTTGAATTTGTACTGCTGTTTTATAAAAGAAATTTTCATTGTATTAAATTTGATTATTCATAGAACCTTTTGTCGTAAGTTACTCAGTTTATTATATATATATGTATATATATATAAATTCACACACATCTACGTATGTATGTCTGTCAGATATAGCAGTGTTGAAGAAAAAATGCTGTTCTTTATTGGATGCTACTTGAACATAGTCCCTTTTAAAATTCTCATTATTTCAGCACAAAAGCCCTGTAAGCACAGAGAAACAGAATACTATTCTATAATGGCATTGAGAACAAATGCAAAAAGAAATAATTATTTAAGTCTTCAGGTTTAACAATAAAACTGCTTTTGTATAACGCCATACCATGTGTGAACAAATGTGTTTCCTCTCTGTTGGTGCATGGAATGTTGTTTCTTGGCTGAATTCCTTCTTCACAAAGCCTTTGATACCCCCGCTTTCTTTCATTCTCAACTTTACCCACGTGTTAACTTACAAACTGCACAACTGCTGAGTGTGCTGGGTGTTTTGACTGCTGATTTTAGCATCACTGCTTCCTTTGTCCCCTTCTGTGATTCACATGAAATCAAATGAGTAAAAATATTTTCAATCTTCCTGGTAAGGTTGAATCTGCGAGGATAGTGAACGTTTGTTCCTATACGATCCTGCTTTGCAGTCCTCTTGTGGTGAATGCAGTGGCGGGACTTCTCTTCCTGTTTTGTTTCAGCTCGAGAAGTGGGATCCCCAGAGAACGCTGGGACGCTGGTGTGTAGTCACAGTAGAAAGTGGCCCGGACCAGGACCTGTCTTCTCACCCCTAACCCAGTGTGCATTCCACCGTAACAACATTTTAAAATAGTGGAGATTCTGAAATGGTGGCCACATGTTTGTTTTATGTTATTTTTTTGTTAGTCACCAAAATAGTTGACGAAGAGTATAGTAATAAAAAGCAGAAAAGAAGGTAACCGTAAATTAATGCCTTAAACTTTTTTTTTTAGTAGTTGTAAATTAAGAGCATAAAGGAAAAGTGCTTCTGTTTCAACAAAAGTGTGACTCTTGTCACACATAGGGGAACCTTTGGGTCACAGAACTTTAGGATTGGATCAAAGAATGAGCTAGTACCACCCCTCCCCCCCCCCCAAAAAATCCCTTATCTTTTCAGTAGGAGAATTTAGATTCTGTGCTGTTACATTTTTGTTTTTTTTTCCCCTAAGTTGTGCAGCTAGAGTGTAATTAAACTTGGAATACAAATGGGAAGAAATGTCTCTTCCGGAGCCTGCCTGTCCTCCCTCAGTGTGGAATGAGTTCAGGATCTTTGGATGAGCCAGCAGAGGCTCTGTCCTAGGTTTCCACACAGCAGTTTGTAGTCCTGTGTTGTGAAAAAACAATGATAAATGTGAAGAAATAGACTTTTCATGCTTTGTTCAGTCTGTTTGCCTGCTAGGAAAAAGATTGTATCAGAAAAGATTATTTTTGCTTTAGAAGATAGAAGTTGGAAAATAGGGAAGGGAATGTTCCTTTCCAGGAGCCCTTGGAAAGTTAGGGAGAATTTGAAGTTAACGGAAACATTTTGACAGTATGAGGACATAGTGTGCTCTCATTGGTGCTCAGAAATGTTTATTAAAAATCCACTTAAAAAAAATCCACTTAGGGGCGCCTGGGTGGCTCAGTCGTTAAGCATCTGCCTTCAGCTCGGGTCATGATCCCAGAGTCCTGGGATCGAGCCCCACATCGGGCTCCCTGCTCTGCAGGAAGTCTGCTTCTCCCTCTCCTACTCCCCCTGCTTGTGTTCCCTCTCTCACTGTGTCTCTCTCTGTCAAATAAATAAAATCTTTAAAAAAAAAAAAATCCACTTAAATTGGCAAACAGTGTTAGGGGAAATTGTCTTTTCTGTATTTAACAATTAGGATACTTGTTTTTTCAAAAAGCTTCTATAGCAAAAGAAAAGCAAATGCTAGTTCTGGGCAGTACCGGAGAAATGTTTGTAATGCTCAACCAAAGAGTCTCAGTATGAGGATGTTGGTGTTACTTTAGGCCCTGTTGACCTATTGATATATATTCTCAGTGGTGTTATAGAAATCACTGCAAAGGTTTTGGAAAGGAGATGACGTTTCTGATCAGAGGGTCTTATTATTAAATTCACACTGGACAGTTAAGGGAAATCTTTCCCAAGGTTTTTTTTTCTTCCCCAATTGTGATGATGATTATTTTTTTAATCTAGACCAAAATTTACTCAGTTTTAAAAGAATCCCATTTCTTTGCCAAAATCTGCACAAGTTTGCTGTTTTAGGCCTGTGTTCTTCTTCTTATTATTTCTTTTAATGAGGGACAAGTGAGATGGCATTATTTCTAAACACTAAGTAGAAGTATTGAAAAATACCGTGCTCCGTAAAAAGCCCATTAAAGGAAAAAGAGAAAAAATATGTGACTCTTCAGTCCTAACACTGAAGATGATTAATAAGCAGTGGCCTGGGTACAGATAGATTTTTCAGATAGCTTCATCACACTTAGTGGTACTTTATTTATTTTTAGATCCTAATCTTATTTTGAGCTTCTCAGTAGATAAACTGTATATATATGCATTTTCCCCGTTTAATCATAGTTGTCTGTGTTTTCTGACTTGTAGGAAGAAAAAAAGAAGTTTGACAAAGAGACGGAAAAGAACTATAGTCTAATTGATAAACATTTGAATTTATCAGCCAAAAAGAAAGATTCACATTTACAAGAGGTATTGTTTTTACTTTTCTGTTTGTTTCTAAAATTCAATAAGCAGTGCATGCCTTTTTAAAATGTGCTTTTCTTTTGTAAACTTTTCATCTAGGATTATTAGGGATGAAAAAAAATGAACAGGTATCATCATGAATTAATAAAAGAGTTCTTGTGGAATAAGACACAAAATAATGAATACATCTTACAGTGATTAATTCAGTAGAGATTCATAGTATTAACATTTTTGGTTCTGAGTATATTTTCACAGGAACAATTTTATCTGGCATTACTGAAGAACAGATACATTATTTTCAGGAATAGACTCATTAATTGGCTTTCAAGATTTTTTGAAGAAATGAATTTAATAAGCTCATCTACCATTTTGCTTTTATGTGAAGGCAGCATTAATCTTATTTAACACTGAAGATTCATGAGGTTCAGCTTCATTGGAAGGAGAGCCTCTGTTATACTTGTGTTAATAGACTTTTTTTTGGGAGGGAACGGTGAGTAAGGAGAAAGGAATTTATATCTTATCTCTCATTTCGTCTTTCTCTTTTCTAAATTCCCTGGCACTTGGGTTTTCTCACTCACACACTTGAGTGGAAACTCAGTGGTTTGCAATTTGGAACATATGTTTTCATTAAAAATAATGCTGTTTTGAAGCTGTTGGGATCTTGACTCATCCCACAAAAGTGTGATATTTTTCTCATTTGTTTATTTTTAAACACATAAGGAATCTGGGCATAATATACCACTATAATATACACTTATTGAAGGATCATCAAAATGACACAACATTGGCTCCAGTATATTTAAATGCCAGATATGCAGTTGCACACCTGTGTATGTGTGGTCATTTTGACATTCCCCACATGTCACATTTACTTTTTCCTCTTTAATGACTTTAACTGACGTTTGGAAGGTGTTTGACAGTTTATAAAAGAGAAGGGAGGGGTGCCTGGGTGGCTCAGTCAGTTAAGCATCTGCCTTTGGCTCAGGTCATGATCCCAGGGTCCTGGGATCAAACCCCGTATCGGGCTCCCTGCTCAGTGGGGAGTCTGCTTCTCCCTCTCCCTCTGCTCCTCCCCCACACTCGTGTGCATGCTCTCTCTCTCGCTCACACACTCTCAAGTAAATAAATAAAAAATCTTGAAAAGAGGGGCGCCTGGGTGGCTCAGTCGTTAAGCGTCTGCCTTAGTCTCTCAGGTCATGATCGCAGGGTCCTGGGATCGAGCCCCGCATTGGGCTCCCTGCTCCTCGGGAAGCCTGCTTCTCCCTCTCCCACTCCCCCTGCTTGTGTTCCTGCTCTCGCTGTCTCTCTCTCTGTCAAATAAATAAATAAAATCTTAAAAAAAAAAAAATCTTGAAAAGAAAAATAAAAGAGGAGGGAGCTTTTATTCTACTGAATCCTCACAATACCATAGGTAGGTAGGGCTCTCTTTTCTCCTTGTTCCATATTATGTAGAAAACCATATAGTTGTTACATATGCTCCGTCATCTCCTTCCCTCTGTCCATTTTGAAATGATAGCTGTTGTTTTTATTGGCTCACCTTATGCCAGAGGCTTTCTACCTGTCTTCTCCTCTCATCTCTCTTTTCAGGTATTCTGAAGGGATTTTTCATGCTGCAAGTAAATTTCCATCTTCACTTCACTCTCTAATTACGTATCTCATGGGAGCTGTTGAGCAGGCAAAATCTTTATGGCCATCCTTGGCCCTTCCTCTCCTATGCCACACCTACTTTCTCAGCATATGTCTTCCTTAGCTTCAGAATATTCTCAGGATATGGCCACCTCTGACTCCTACCACCATCACCCTGGCCCATGCTGCTGGCATCTCTCACAAGGATTACCGTAAAGGCCTCTTAATTGGTCTCCCTGCTTCCACCTATGTATTCCTACAGTTTATATTCTGTACAGCAAGCAGAGTGAGCCTTTATGTTGCTTCTCTTCCCCAGACCCTAACAGCTGTCTCCAGAGGCCCAGGGCCCACCCTCCTGTCCTCACACCCACATGGGCTGGGCTGTTTTGCTGTGACTGACTGGGACAAGCATACTCTAGGCTCAGGGCCTTTGCATAGTACGTTTCCAGCCCAGACCCGCATGCTTCACTCCTCCACATACTCTTAAATACTGTCCACTCAGAGTTCACCTTACCAGAGAAGTCCCTGACCATCTTATTTAAAGTGCCCCCCCCCTTATGCTGCCTTGATTTTTTTCATACTCTTACACACATTTGACATACCATATATTTGGTTGTTACATGGCTTCTTGCACTCGCATGTAAGCTCCTCGAAGGCAACAACATTGTTTTATTTGGTACTCTATCCTTTACATCTAGAACACTGCTAGTCAGGGAGTAGGCACTTAATACATATTTATTGAATGAAGAAGTGTGAAGATGCTTGCACAGTGAGCTGGGGCTTCATTAATTTCATCATTCCCAAAGATAATTGAACTCCAGATCAGAAATTTGAAGAGACCCTCGAGATGAATAACTTTAGTTTCATTTAAATTGTATATTCTGTCCCATCTTGCTGTTTGCTCTTTACAAACATACACACTCCCACTGGAAACAGCTTTCTATTGCAAGTGTGAAGGCCTTTAGCGGCGGGGGTGGGGTGGGGTGGGGAATGCTCTTTAAAAGGAAAAGGTTAGATTTGAATCTCATTGATTTTGGTATTGGCTTATGTATTGCTAATCTGCAGTGAACTGAGTTGAGGTGCTAGAGAGGTTTATAAAGGTTGCTGAGAGTGGTACTGAACAAAGGCATAAAAACTTGTATCATTCTTTCTCCTTGTTTCAAATGAAAATAACAGGAGACGAGTGTCACAGACAGCAGGCTGGCAATTTGGTAATTCTGTTAAGACCATTACCTATAGCTCTCCATTTACTGGGTACAGTAGCTTCTACTTCCATCCACACCCCTAACTTCTAATATTTGCACTAGAACAAGTATCAGACATTTGAGAAAAATCTATGTCTGTTAATTTTTGAAGTATATTTTTGTTTTTTGAGTAGTCAAATGATTATATTTCAGTACATATGACCAGGGAAGTAGATCTTTTGAATAACTTTGCCTGAGAATGGTCTATTCTCATGATACATATTTATGGCAGGAATGGCCAGAAATGAGATGATGATCAAATAGAAGTTTGTTTAAACAGTCACTTTTGCTTGGTATGGTAAAAAGTAGAGTTTGAATGTGTGTTTTCCCATACCACCCAGCAATTAACTCAATTCTCACAGTCTACCTGGAGGCCGCATCAGTCCCAACAGGTTAAGGGCTCCGTCCCATAAGACGGTCCCTTCTTCAGATACCAGTTGCAAATCATTACTGGCTTCTGACCTACTGGCTATAAGTTAGACGTTCCCACCTTCCCCTCCTCCAGTTTGATTCATTTGCTAAGAGTGGCTCACAGAACTGAGATAAAACACTTACTTATATTTACTAATTTATCGTAGAGGATAATATAAAAGATAGAGATGAATAGCCACATAGGGTGGGGTCTGGAAGGGTCCCAAGCCTAGAACTTCTGTCCCCGTGGAACTGGGGTGTGTCACTCTCCAGGCTCTCGCGTGCGTCCACCCACGGGGACGTTCCAGAGTTTTTACAGAGCTCGGTCTGTGGTGCCCCTCCCTCTACCCACTGCCAGATGTCAGTGGGCAGGACTGAAAGGTCCAGCCCTCTAATCACTTAGTCTTTCTGGTGCTCTGTAGAAGCCCCACCCTAAGTCACCCCAGTAGCATAAACTCACGTGTGCTCCAGAGGGGCTCTTTATACAGATATAAAAGGTACTCCCATCACTCAGGACATTCCGCGGCGTTTAGAAGCTTTCTGCTTTATTCCACGTATAGCACATTCGCATTCTTGTGCAACCATCACTACCTTCCATATCGAGAGCTCTTTTCACCTCCAAACACTGAAACTGTTTCCATTGAAAACTACTTCCCCAGCTCCCTACCCCCAGCTCCTGATAACTGCCTTTCTGCTTTCTGTCTCTATGAATTTGTTCTAGGTACCTTATAAAAGTGGAATCCTACAGTATTTGTCCTTTGTGACTTGCTTATTCCATTTAGCATAATGGTCTCAGGTTCATCCACATTATAGCACATGTCCAAATCTCCTTCCTTTTTTGAGGCTGTGTAATATTATCTATATCTATCTATGTATATATCATATTTTGTTTATCCGTTTGTCAGTGGACACTTTGGTTGCTGCCGCCTTTTAGCTTTTGTAAATAATGCTGCTGTGAACAGGGTTATATAAATCTTTTTTGAGTCCCTGTTTTCAGTTTTTAGGAGTATACACCCAGAAATGGAATTACTGTATCACGTGATAATTCTGTGTTTAATTTTTTTTGAGAACTGCCATGCTGTTTTTCTCTTTCTTTCTTCTTTTTTTTTTTTTTAAAGATTTTATTTATTTATTTGACAGAGAGAGACACAGCGAGAGAGGGAACACAAGCAGGGGGAGTGGGAGAGGGAGAATCAGGCTTCCCGAAGAGCAGGGAGCCTGATGCGGGGCTCGATCCCAGGACCCTGGGATCATGACCTGAGCCGAAGGCAGATGCTTAACGACTGAGCCACCCAGGTGCCCCTGCCATGCTGTTTTTCATAGCAGCTACATTTTTTTGCATTCCCACCAACAGTGCACAGGGTTCCAATTTCTTCACATCCTCAGCAACACTTGTTTTCTGTTTTTTTTTTTTTTAATTAGTTATTATTTATTTTTTTGATAGGTGTGAGGTGGTATCTTGTATTTATATTTCTGTAATGATTAGTGATTTTGAGCATCTTTCTAGGTGCTTATTGCCATTGCTTTGGAGAGTTGTCTGGATAAATACTTTAAAAATTGGCCAAGTTAGGAAATATGTGATGCCTTGTTAAGAGTGGTTTCTAGGATGACAGTTCTTGTTCTGCCGTTCCTCCATGGAACCCAGCTTCTCTCCCAGTTCCCTTCTAGTTAGATAAGATAAGCTGGGACTCCCCCCCACCCCCCCAACCTTGGAATAGTCTCCTGACCATCTGGTGCCTGTTTACTCTCAGAGGACGACACATTTTGAGGGCCTAAGAACATGATTACCTGTAGATGGGCTTTAAGCCCTGGCCTACCTTTTGAGAGTCAGGTTCTTTTATTTTTTCTTTAATTGAAGTATAGTTGACACACAGTGTTACATTACTTTCAGGTACAGCATAGTGATTTGACAGCCCTGTACATTATGCTGTGCTCACCACAGGTGTAGTAGCCCCCATCTGCCCCCATACAACGCTGTTAAAATACTGTTGACTATATTCCTGGGCTGACCTTTCATCCCCATGACTTATTCATGCCATAATCAGAAGCCTTTACCTCCTCTCCCCTTCACACATTTTGCCCATCCCTCCACCCGCTCCCCTCTGACAACCATCAGTTCTCTGTTTTAATGGGTCTGTTTTTGCTTTTTTGTTTGTTTGTTTAGATTCTACATATACGTGAAATCATGTAGTATTTGCCTTTCTCTGTCTGACTTAGCATAACAGCCTCTAGGTCCATCCCTGTTGTTGCTAATGACCCCTCCCCCCAAAAGCTCCTCCTTTTTTATGGCCGAGTAATATTCCATTGTATGTATATGTACCACATCTTTATCCATTCATCTATCATTAGACACTTGGGCTGCTTCCAGATCTTGCCTATTGTAAATAATGCTGCAGTAAACATAGGGGTGCATATGTCTTCTCAAAGTAGTGTTTTTGTTTCCTTTGGGTTAATACCCAGAAATGAAATTACTGGATATGGTAATTTGAGAACCAGATTCTTGAGATGGTACTCTAGCTGCCACTTCCTCACCTGCTGCCTTCAGTTGTGCATCCTGAGGTGACTAGATTTCCCAGGCCAACTGCATTCTTAGAGGATTTGTCAATGGAAATAATGTTTATGTGATTTTGAATGTATGTGTATGGTTCAACCTTGGGTGTCAGTTGGGGTTGGGGTGAGTTTTTCATGAAGAGCCATTCTGTTTGATGTTCAATCCTTGGGGTCAAGCTCATCATAAAGGGCAGGGGTTGGCAAACTTTTTCTGCAGAGTCAAGTGGTAAAAATTATGTTTTTGTAGACAGTAAGGTCCCTGTTGCAACTACTCAGTTTGGCTGCCCCAGCGGGCAAGTGGCCATGGAAGATACATAAACCAGTAGCTGTGACTATGTTCCAGTACAACTTTATGTAGAAAAACGGGCTGGGGCCATATTTGGCACAGGGCTGGTGGCATGGCCACCCTCTGATCAAGCGTTTCACTCCTCACCATCTCTGATTTAACCAGCCTCTATTGCTTTAACATAGGCAGATATCCAAGTGGAGCAGAACCGGCAGCACTTTTATGAACTGTCTCTTGAATATGTATGTAAGCTTCAGGAAATCCAGGAAAGAAAGAAGTTTGAGTTTGTGGAGCCTGTAAGTATCATAGAAGGTTGTTCTGCTGTTAGATTTTTGTGATATAATAGAAATGTTTTTCTCTCTAGATGGAATTTACCATTGTTGGGGGCCAGAGTGCATACACGTGAAGCACAAGGCATCGTAAATTATAAAAGTGGACACCCATCACCATGAAGTCAAGGAATCACCTACAAATTAGTGGTTCTCAGCCTTATTGGCACAGCAACATGTAGGGAATATTAGTTCTTAAGGACTCCGCAATCAGGTGGTATTTCTGCCACCCTATTGTAGGTCCACCCTTTAAAGAGAAGCCCTGTGAAAGAAATGTTAGGATGGGAGAGACATTGGTGGTGGTGATGGATAATTTTCACTCTGCTCAAGTTTGTTCTGAAGCAAGCACACCAGTCCAAGTTTTGGTACTTTGAACAATTATTGGTAACAAATTATTTCTAACACAACTCAATGCTTATGGCAACCTGTTAAGAACCAGCATGTGGAGCACTTGAAACTATTTTGTGAGTTACTCTGGCCATTCTTTAGACCTATTTACAGACATGTGATTTGTGTTTGTGCTTATATAGATGTATTCTAATAGCTTCAGTTCTTTATATATTTTTGTATATACATAATGTATATGGACACATATGAATATATGTAAAGGGTAATTCGTACTGTGGGTTTTAGTGAAAAAACCAAGAAGAATTGAAATTCATGATTCTCAAGATTAATTTTAATGTAGGTGTTTTTGCATGTGATTTTTTAAAAAAGCTTTACTGAGATAGAATTTACATCCCATACAATTATCCATTTTATATGTGATTTTGAGAAACAGAAAAATAACAAAGTAATGATTAATTTGAAATTGACATTCATGGACACAATAGTCTAGTTAGAGTAATAGAATCTTATTTATTTAAGATTTAATTGAGAAACAGAGATAGCGACAGAGATAGGAGAGATAGCATGAAGCAGGGAGGAAAGGGGGAAGCAGGCTCCTCACTGAGCAGGGAGCCCGATGCAGGGCTCAATTCCAGGACCCTGGGATCATGACCTGAGCCGAAGGCAGACGCTTAACGACTGAGCCACACAGGCACCCCTAGAATTAACCTAATTTAAACAATGAGAGAAAAATTGATCTCCATAAACCTTTCTTGTATGTGAAATACTAATAATGACCTGCATTTATTGAGCATTTACGGTGCTCAGTCATTGTTCAAGTCATTCTTCTAATACTTCACATGCTCATGTGTTTATTCCACACACTAACTCCATAAGGAGATATTTTTATGATCCCACTAAGCAAATAAGGAAATGGAAGTACAGAAAGTTTCAGTAATTTGCCCAAAGTCTCATACAGAGCTGAAGTTGGGGATTGACCCTTGCTGGCCACTTGACATTAGAGTTCCAGATTCCTAACCATTGTGCCACGTGACATTATGAAGAAAATGAATCTCAGGATTTCCTTAATTCCTACCCCAAATCACTTTTACTCATTTTAAATTCACATGTTGGGCAAAAGCAGGTGCTCTTTACTCAGGAGGGGCAGGTTGAGGGTAGGTCAGAACTCAGAGCTTAATTATCACTCTGTCTCTACCTGTCTCTGCCCCAGTCACTGAAGGTTTATAGACTAAATAAATAAGTCACTGGATGCCATTGGAGAGAGCTTTTAAACTCTTTAATTCTGTGATTTCACTTTCATTATAGGTTCTATTGACTTATGGTGATAAGATTTCAATTATAAATGAAGATAGAGATTCTCTTGACTAGAAAGAACAATGGATGATATAGAACTCCATTTCTCCAGTACACTATACTCTCAAAGCTATCTAATAGCTCTGATATTTAAGGAAAAATAACAAATCTTCCATTTTGTGAAAGGACAAATTAATAAAATTAATAAATAATATGTAGTTAGATTTAGTTAATTCCGGTGACTTCTTTTAATTATTTTACTTCAGTAGAATCAGTGGGTTGAGGGGGGCAATATGTGGCTGTTCTTATTCTCCCCTCCCTCCCAACCCTGAGTTTTTGTTTGTGCTAATGTCATTTTTTTTCCCTTTGTCTTAGATGCTGTCCTTTTTTCAGGGAATGTTTACTTTCTATCATCAGGGCCATGAACTTGCCAAAGACTTCAATCACTACAAAATGGAACTACAGATCAACATTCAGAATGTAAGGAAATGAAAGCTTTCTGGTATAAAAGGGTGTTTGAGATGTGTATTTTCATTTGGTTATATGAAAAGCCTTAAACCAAAACCAGGCTGAGCTGTTGGTGTTGAGAAACTGAGGCTACGTTGCCACCTTCTGGTCAGTTCTCAGTGTAACAAACTGCTCTTCAATTAGGTGAGGCTCAGGAATTCCGCCACCTGGCGGCTCTTTTTTTTTTTTTTAGATAATGAATTTGTTTTAAAATTTTTTCTTGTCTTACTTTCAGAAAAGTCACTAGATATGTGTTTTAAATCAGGAGTCCCATAATTTATTATTTTTTCTAGTTTGATTGAGGTGTCATTGACATACAGTACTATATATGTTTCAGTTGTACAGTGTACTGACTTGACATATATATTGCAAAATGATTACCACAGTAAGTTTAGTTAATGTCTGTCACTTCATACAGTTACAGAAACTTTTTTCTTGTGATGAGGACTTTTAGGATCTATTCTCTTAGTAACTTTTAAAATATGTCCTAGAGCAGTGTTAACTGCCACCATGTTGCACTTTGTAGGGGTAATTGTAAGGATAAACTTTGTTATGTAACTTTCTTTCATGTAGGGAGCAAACAAAAGAACTTCACTTTAGATGTAAGGCATTTCAGTTATAATGATCTCAATTTCTATTACCTGTATATCTTGATTTTTAATCCCAGCTAGGTTTATGGTTCAAGAGGAATTTCTTCCCTATGTTTATGCATATTCACTAATGTATTGAGTTCACAGTTGCTGTTGGTCTATATTATTTTCCTGGAAAATATATGCTTTCAAAGAGGTCTTGGATAAAGAGATTTAAGAGAGCTGTATTAAACAGTATAACATAGGTGATTTTGATCAGAAGGTGGTGGATGTTTTTCCTCTCAGAACTTAAATTGACTTTTGGAAGTATCCTCATTGAAATTCTTTTTAGGTTATGTTTAGTATAATTTTAGGCCTCATTAGAAAAAAAAGTGAGTTTTAGGACAAGCACATTCTAGCTCGTACTGAAAGACATATGAAGAATGGGACTCTGTGCTGTTTGCTGCCTGACTTTCAATTTGATATCATCATAGGGATTGAGGAGGAATGGTTTTGTGTAGATTTTGTTTCTAAGTTTTTTGTATAGTTCCCTACATTTGGGAATTTAGATAATGAAATCTCTCTCTTTTTCTCTCTCTCTCTCTCTCTTTTTTTTTTTTTTGGTAATTCAAGTGTCCATTTGTATTTATAGATTATTTTGATGTTGAGCCGGGTTAAATAACTAAAAGAGTAAACACCCCCATTCACGCCCCCCCACTATCAGTGACCACAATGTGACAGAATTCTAAAAAATGTCAAAATGTATATGTATGTGTAGATTAGTTCTAATTTTAAAATTGTCTCTATAGGTAGTAGAATAGTCTACTGTTGCTGCAATTTTTTCAGATTACTTTTGCAGACAGCAGAACAGTTTTGTTAAAAGAACGCTATATAGTTAGTTTAGAAGATTAATTATATTCTTGAGTTTTTCCTCTACCAACTGGCTATATAACCTGTGGAAATTTACCTCTTCTGCCTGGATGTCATCTGTCAAGTACAGGGCTGGCCTGGATGAGAACCTTCAGGCAGAACTGGTTCCAAAATTTGTGGGGTCGGTATAAAATGGGAAGGCAGGAGGGCCCTTATTTAAAAATGAAGAATTTCAAGACCATGACAGCAGAGCATTAAACCAAGAGCGTGACCTTCTGAGCACAAGGTCCCCTGTGGTTGCACAGGCTACGTGCCCACGAAGCTGGCTGTGTCTCGGTGTCTGGGGTGAGGGGTGGGGTACATCCGCGAAACGATCCCTGCACAGCTTGCTTGTGGATGGAAGTACTTTTGTAACACGTCTGTGTGGTAACAGGGAGATAGTTACCTTACATACGCCAAAATGATTTCAAGAGATTAAATATTTCAGTGTAAATGAGCAATGCCCAGTCATGAAGTATTAGAAGAAAAACCTAAAAACAAGCTATCCCTTGAAATGGTTCACAAAATAACTTGGTTAATATCCTTACTACATTCAGAAGTTAACTTACACATTTGATAACAGTCATTTCCCATAGAGAAATGGGCAAAGAACAGTTCGCTGGAACATTTTTCTGTATCCTCTGGAACTCGACTGTCATTGGTAAATGGCCCTAAAACCTCTTTTCTAAATACTCATCTCTTCATTTTGTTCTGCTTCTGAGGCTGCTCCTGCAACTCTTTCATGCAGAGCCTCTTCTTTCCACCTCACCTGCAGTTTTGAGAACACCTGATCGAGGTGTCTTTGCCATTCGTGTTTGCGCCTAGCTAATTCTTTTCCCTTCAGAAATGCCGGCACCTTTGAAACACATGCCGCTCCTTCTGCGGTACCTGCTGTACCTGAGTGTTGCTGTAGTTTGTTCACTTCTTGGCCATTTCTCTCATTCCCTGATGATATCAGCTTTTAGCAGAATAAAGGGAAAATGCTGGCAATATAAAACAATTACAAAAATCCCAGTTATGTGTTCTTTTTTATGCGATGTATATTTATGTATTTAAGGAAATAGACGCAAATATTAAAACCAAATCTTAGGGTGCCTGGGTGGCTCAGTTGGTTGGGCATCTGCCTTTGGCTCGGGTCATGATCCCAGGGTGCTGGGATCGAGTCCCACATAGGGCTCCCTGCTCTGCGGGGAGCCTGCTTCTCCCTCTGTCCCTCCCCCAACTCGTTCTCTCCATCTCTCACTCTCTCAAATAAGTAAATAAAATCTTAAAAAAAAATAAAACCAAATATTAGCATTAAATATCTGTGCGCTATAATGCTATGGATAATTTTGGTCAACTTTTAAGAATTTTAGTAAAAAAACAGCAGGATCGTTTTACAAAATCAGAAAAAATGTAGAAGTTACTTAAAAATGAAAACAACCCATTTTCCCCACCTGGTTTCACCTTTTCTGTTGTAAAAATGGCAACACCTCTTTTAGTTTTTTGAAAGCAATTTATTCCTCATCCACTTTCCATAATCCAGAGTAATACATGGAAAGCAAAACAGAGCAAGATGGCTTTTAGAAAATAGATTTTCAAGAAAAATATAAATTGCATCAAAATTGAAGTATATTTTAAAAAACTAAGTTTAAACTTTTGTTATCTTTATCCCCAGAGGAATGTGGGGAAAGAGAAACTAGAATAGAATTCTTCCTAGAAGGAAATGTAATGTGAGAAATCTTAGAATTCATGAAGAATCCCCAGAAGATCCTAAGAATAGTTAAGATTTTAAGAATATGCCCAAATATTTTTCTTACAGTGTTGTGAGAAAAGTAGAACACTAAAACAATAAACCATGTTTTTTTAAAAAAAGGGATTGGAAGTGATTGTGTAAAAATACAGAAGTGCTTATTTCTGAGGGATAGGCTTATGGTCACTTTTAATTGCTTTTAAACCTTTTCTTTCTGCCCCCAAGACAGGACTGTTTGTGCCCCTTCCTTCTTTCTGTTTTATAATGTTGTGGATTTGTTTTTATATTCTGAAAAAAATTTTTAAAAATATACTTTCTCTTGCAATCACATTTAAAACAATAAGCTGTTAGTTTGATATTGAAGATTTTCCTTTATCCTTTGACAGGGAATAATTGTGACTTTTGGGTGACTTCATTGTAATAGTAGTCATAGTAGTAATGTCATCTATATTTATTTTGTTATCATGTACCAGCTACTCCCCATGTGCTTTATTTGGAATATGCACATTTCATCTTCCTAGAAGTCCTGTGATGGAGATTTTGTTATACCTGGTTTACAGATGAGGACACTGAGGACAATAACTTCCTGCTGTCCTATTGCTTTCAGGTCGGGTCCAGCACTGGAACTTGGGCAGAGTCCCTCCAAGGGACCATGGTGGTTGGTTTCAGATTCTGTGCTGGGATATAAATGGGTCACTCATGGTGTATCTGGGGTCCATACATATAGGAGCCGGGGAACGTCTTGATATGGCCATCTGCTTGCCCAGACCTTAGCAACTTGTGGGTAACACGGGAGTCCTTTTAATTGTAGAAACTCAGATTTAGGCCCTGATGGTGAATCTCCGCTCACCTCCACCTGTCACCAGTTCTAAACTGTGTTTCCCTCATCCCCGTGGAAGGTGTCTTATATGGGACTTAGACTCTATCACCTATTCACTTGGGGTCTGTTGCCTGATGTTCCTCTTTCTGCCACCTCCCTCTGCGTGGGGCGTTTGAGGAGCAATATGGGGATTACAGTGAGGGTGTGTGTGTGTGTGTGTGTGTGTGTGTGTGTGTGTGTGTATAGGGCCTTATCCCTTTTCTGTTACATTATTTTGCAAGGTTACTAAAGCAGGGCTGCATGGGGCCCACCCTCATGTTTTAGAGCTGTTTCATGAAACCTTTTCATATTTTTAATTGTACTTTGCCTTCCATTCCTCTCTGAATGAGGTCATGGGGCCAGGATGGGAAAACTTAAAATGGCTATCTGTACTTGGAATCAGCCTTTTCTCTCTGCCTTGAAAGCTTTATTTCTGGATATAGCACTGTGAAAAGCTCCTTCTCTCTCTCGTCTTCCTTTTTCCCTTACCATGGGAGTGAGCCTATGCTAAGCCTGACCCGCCAGGTTTCTAGACATACTCAAATGTGTCTGAATTCCAGCTTAGTCCCCAAATTGAATCCTCCTCCTCCCAAAGAGGTGATGTAATAACATTTAATTTATAAGGCTTAATTTAAGACTGGTTTATTTGGAGATTTATTTAAGAAAGCATGCAAGGAAAGGAATTTCCTTTTCCTTTTTACTGACAATGGATAGCACCAGACTATCTCAGAGGTTATTTTGAGGATTAAAGCCCCAAAAAGTGTTTTCAGTGGTGCCACCAGTGTAAACACTCTAATGGTCACTTACGGTATCATTTCCAGTCTAACACTATTATTTGATGATAATATACACCTGGAATTTAGAATTGGAGATTGTGAGGCTCTAGCCATTCTATTATTTATGTTCAAATTTAAAAAAAATGTTGGGGCTCCTGGGTGTCTGCCTTCAGCTCAGGTCATGATCCCGGGTTCCTGGCATAGAGCCCCACGTCGGGCTCCCTGCTCAGTGGGGAGCCTGCTTCTCCCTCTGACCCCCCCCCATGCTCTCTCTCTCTCAAATAAATAAAGTCTTTATAAAAAAATTTAAAAATGTAATTTTCAATCCTATTCATAATTTACTTAAAATGGTAAAATCCTTCCTCTCCCTTCCCGGTGCAGAGTCCTACACATCTGAGGAAGTAGGACAGTAAGGGCAGGTGGTACTCCATGGAGGGGTCTGCAGCAGGGAGAGTGGGGGTGATGGTGATGGTGGGGGTGGGAAGGGTGTAGAGGCAGCCTGAAGAAGAGGTGGCTGGTGTATTTGGGAGATTGGTTACATTGAGCAGATGTATTAATTGAACAAATAAGTAAATAGATTGAGAATATGGGAGCTAGATTTCTCACTCTCTGAAAAGAAATGTACAAAATGGGGTAGGGAGGGGTGCCTGGGTGGCTCAGTCGGTTAGGCTACTGACAATTGATTTTGGCTCAGGTCATGATCTCAGGGTCATGAGATTGAGCCCCATGTTGGGCTCCCCGCTGAGCAGGGAGTGTCCTTGAGAGTCTCTCTCTCTTCCTCTTCCTCTGCCCCTCCCCCTGCTTGCGTGTGCTTGTGCATGTGCGCTCTCTCTCAAATATTCAAAATTGGGAAGGGATAGGCTAGAAAGAAACTGGAGTATTGGATTGGGATTATATTTACTTGTATGAACATATGGGTTTTTCAATATAGAGAGATACAGAAGTATATGTGTGTAAAAAACAAACAAACAACCTATCTTTGTGTATATATATACACACATCCATGTAGTTTTTCTGTCTGCCAGGAACACCCAGAAGCAGTGACACCCCTTTAACTGTGACACACTGTGCTCAGATTTTGGTTTCTAACTACTACACTCCACTAAAAGGAACAAGGGCTTCTGGGGGTAGGGGGAAATCATTGCTTCTAGGACTGGGACAGAGAAAGTATAAGATGAACCCAGGACTCCTTTTGGGACCAGAAAGTAAGGGATTACTCAATTAAGGGGGTGCATCAGGGGCGCCTGGGTGGCTCAGTTGTTAAGTGTCTGCCTTCGGCTCCGGTCCTGATCCCAGGGTCCTGGGATCGAGGCCCACATCGGGCTCCCTGCTCGGCGGGAAGCCTGCTTCTCCCTCTCCCACTCCCCCTGCTTGTGTTCCCTCTCTCGCTGTGTCTCTCTCTGTCAAATAAATATATAAAATCTTTAAAAAAAAAAAATTAAGGGGGTGCATCAAAAGATAACAAGATTCAGCTAGAAGGGGCCCCAGCTGGTCCAGTCCCAGGACAATTTGAGTATTAATATAAATGATGAGAGTACTGGGTGCAATTCATGAGATTAACAGGAATATCTGTGTGTGTGCAGGTGTGTACTCGTGTGTGTGTGTGTCTGGCATCTGTGCACACACGGCATGCACGCATCTGTGCGCGTGTGTGTATGTGCAGGCATGCCTCGCTTTATCCTGCTCTGCTTTTTTAAGCTTCACAGGTACTATGTTCTTTACAGATTGAAGGTTTACGGCAATCTTTGTCACACAAGTTTATTGGTATTTTTACAGTAGCAGTTGCTTACCTCGTGTCTCTGTCTCACATTTTGGTGTTCTCGTGATATCTCAAGCTTTTTCACTGTTGTTACATTTGTGATCATGATCCGTGGTCTTTGATGTTACTGTCAAAATTGTTGTGGGGCGCCACAGACTGTGCCCCTATAAGATAGTGAACGTAATCGATGAAAGTTGTGTGGTTCTGACTGCTTCACTGACCAGCTGTCCCGCACCCCCGTCTCTCTCCCTCTACTCAGGCTTCCCTATTCTCTGAGGCACAGCAATGTTGAGGTTTGGCCAGTGATTAACCCTGCATTGGCCTTTAAGTATTCAAGTAAAAGGAAGAGTCACACATTAAATCAAAAGCTAGAAATGATTAAGCTTAGTGAGGAAGACATGTCGAGAGCCCAGATAGGCTGAAACCTAGGCCTTTTGCACCAAACAGCCAAGTTGTGAGTGCAAAGGAAAAGTTCTTGAAGGAAATTAAAGGTGCCACTCCAGTGAACACATGAATGCTAAGAAAGCGAAACAGCCTTATTGCTGATACGGAGAGAGTTGGAGTGGTCTGGATAGAAGATCAAACCAGCCACAACATTCTCTTAAGCCAAAGCCTAATCCAGAGCAAGGGCATAACTCTCTTCAGTTCTATGAAGGTTGAGAGAGGTGACGAAGCTCCAGAAGAAAAGTCAGAAGCTGGCAGAGGTTGGTTCATGAGGTTTTAAGAAAGAAGCTGTCTCCATAATAGAAGAGTGCAAGGTAAAGTAGCACATACTGATGGAGAAGCTGCAGCAAGTGATCCAGAAGGTCCAGCTAAGATAATTCATGAGGGTGGCCTCACTACACAGCAGATTTTCAGTGTAGATAATGTTTGGCTTCAAAGCTTCAAAGGACAGGCTGACTCTCTTGTGAGAGGCTAATGCAGCTGGTGACTTTAAGTTGAAGCAAGTGCTCATTTACCATTCCGAAAATCGTAGGGCCCTTAAGAATTAGACTAACTCTACTTGTGCTCTATGAATGGAACACCAAAGTCTGGATGACAGCACATCTATTATAACAGCATAATTTACAGAGTATTTTAAGCCCTCTGTTGAGAGCTAGATGCCACTAAGAACATTCGTGATTCATGGGAAGAGGTCAAAATATCAACGTAAGTAGGAGATTGGAAAAAACTGATTTCAACTCTCAAGGATGACTTTGAGGGGTTCAAGACTTCAGTGGAAGAAGTCACCGCAGATGTGGTGGGAATAGCAAGAGAACCAGAATTAGAAGTGGAGCCTGAAGCTGGAACTGAATTGCTGCCATCTCATGGTAAATCTTGAACAGATGAGTTGCTTTTTATGCATGAGCAAAGAAAATGGTTTCTTGAGATGGAAGCTACTCCTGGTGAAGATGCTATGAAGATTGGTTAAAATGACAACAAAGAAGTTAGAACCTTCCATAAATTTAGTTGATAAAACAGCAGCAGGGTTTGAGAGGGTTGAGTCCAACTTGGAAAGAAGTTCTGTTGTTGGTAAAATGCTACCAAATATCATTGTTGTCTTATTTCAAGACATTGCGCCAGCTGCCCCAGCCTTCAGCAGCCACTACCCTGGTCAGTCAGCAGCCTGATCAACACTGAGGGCAGACCCCCCACCAGCAAAATGATTATGACCGAAAGCTCGGATGATGGTTAGCATTTTTTTTTTTTAAGCAATATAGTATTTTTTACTTAAGGTATGTACATTTTTAAGACATAATTCTATTGTGCACTTAATAGACTATAGTGTAAACATAACTTTTATATACACTAGGAAACCCCAAAATTCATTTGACTTGCTTAATTGCAATATTCACTTTATTGCAGTGGCCTGGAACTGAACCCGTAATATCTCTGAAGTATTTATATGTATAAATATTATACACACACACACACCACACATTCAGAAAGAAGTGAGGGTTGGGAGGAATCTAAGTAAAGTGACAAAGAAGCAAATAAATAAAATCGGTGTATAATTAGTATTAAAATGAGGACAAGAAATCCTGGAGGCATGAGAAACAGAGAGGCAAGAGGGGACTGGCCATTAACAAATGAGTCCCACCCTCCTTGCAATCCTGCATTTTGTTCTAGTACATACATTTTTTTTAAACTCTCAGCTTGTGTTTAAAATAAGTTTCTGCAGATAAGTTTTCCCCTTTGCAATCCACATTTATCAGACTCCATTCCCCTAAACAATGTGTACCATTCTACCATTTTTCTGTTCTAGGACCCTTGGTAACCCCTTTCATTGTAGGGAGGAGAGGGGAGGGATTTCAGTAAAAATTTTTTTAATCTCCACTTTTTCACAATTTCACATCAGCAGTTTTTTGGTGTTAATACAATTATTTTAGAGTGTGGATAAAAGAAATGTCCAGAAATTTGGTGGTGCTGACTCATCATGCTTGCCTTGGTAATTTCGTCACTTCACCTTGCATATACGTTTCCAGTGTGTCCATTTGACAGAGATATTGGCATACCAAGTCTCCTGGGTTTCAGAAATGTGATTTGTCACATTATCAAAGACATTATTTGTACATGGGATTCTTCCCCCCCCCCCCCAATCTGAGAAGAAATGTCATTTCAAGTGCAATTGCCATGACCTGCAAAAAATGACCTCATATTTATTAGTTGGCAGAGAAGAATTAAGTTTTTTTGGGTTCTGAGTACCTAATACTGCTGGTATAATAATGGTGAGTCAGGTTAATTGTGCAAAGGAGAGACTTCCCAGATATTTTATGACCTACTTTTTTTTTTTTTAAATCTAAGATTTAGTAATATTGTGAGATGTGGAGGTATGAATTCTTATGTTGAATATCACAAGCATTCTTGGTGTTTGAAATCTTCGAGAGTAAATAACCTCCAGTTACCTTAGCTTAGACTCCCTCTGTTAGCTATTCTACCACTAATTTTTTCCTTAACGCTAATCTTAACAAAGAGACACACTGGAAAGGGTGGGTATATTTCGAGAAGTTTATAGAAAAATCCTACAAATTTAATTATAGTTATCCAGAAACTTAAAAATGTACATGAAAGAGCTCATATGAGGACTTAAAACTTACATGTGTTTTTTATGTTTCAGACACGGAATCGTTTTGAAGGAACAAGGTCAGAAGTGGAAGAGCTTATGAACAAAATCAGACAGAATCCCAAGGACCACAAACGAGCAAGTCAATTCACAGCCGAAGGCTACTTATATGTACAGGAAAAAAGTAAGACCTCCAGCAGTGATGAATGACTAAGGAAAAATTATTTTAAAACTTACTGTAATTACTCTATTTTTGGAATAATTATTGCTACCACTGCCTTTGCCCTGTCCTGTCCTAGAAGGTAGTATTTTGTATTATGGGGGAAAACACTTTCCTGCTCTAGTGAGGGGACAGTGAAATTAGGAACTCAAGGAGCACCCCACTTTTCAGATGCATCCTGGAGTTCTGCATCACACTTTGCTAAAACTTGCTTATAAGGATGCCAGAAGTTGGTGTAAGGCTGAAAGTGAGGCGAGGTATTTTTCCTCCTTTCCCTTCATCCCTCGCCGTCCTCGTCACCTACGCACACACATATGCACATTCATATACATATGCACACCCTCCCCGTCCCATAGACCTCCTTCTTCATGTTAAAGTCAACAGGGACATATTCCTCCTATCCCGTCACATCAGTTCTTTCCACACCAATCTGAGATCGTTTGTTCTTGCTAAAATTGTCAGGGTGATTGCAGATGGCTATAAAAAAGACTCCTAGATGGCATTCTAACTTACAGAATTTTTAGTATTGCTCTCAGTGAATATGCGGTGCATAGAGTGTCCTTATTTTGAAAATGAAGGCCCCTAAAAATTCTTTCGGACTTTTTGACAGTTTGGTCGTATTTTTAACTGTTCAGCTCTTAAACTTTACTTCCTCAGCTATAGAACCTGAGTACTATTTAGTAGAAAGGAAGAGAATGTGAAAATATTTCTCTCTTTGCTGTTCTCCTGCCTTCCCACCCTTGACTGTCATCAGCACACTTCACAATTTTCATTAGTGTGGCTGATTTACAGGACTTTCCAACTGACCACTTGAGTAGGAGCGGGTACTCGTGGAAGAGCTGTGGGATATCTGTGCTTCCAAGTCAAGTTAATGCATATGTGGTCAGCAGAGGGGTTCTTTTGCCATTTGTCCTTATTCAGTCTGGGCTACCACAGTCTTCATGTCTCACGAAGAGGAGTTACATGGCGAGCAGAACTTTAAATTTTCCTGATGCTTTAGCTTTTTAATCTCACTTTGTTCACTGAATTTGAAATAACTAAATTAACATGTAGGGTAGAGACATTGGAAGGATAGAATTTTTGTATTATATGCCCAAGTGAAAACCACAGGAAGCTTTAATTTTTAGATTCATAACTGTTGCTCAGCTTACTGTCTTTGAGAGGAATTGGGCTGAGACTAGTTGGAAAAACAGAACGAAAACAGTAGTGGCAAAAGTCTCCTCTTGTTAACTGCATGCGAGACACTGTGCTAAGCTTCTTACACACCTTGTCTCATTTAATCCATTAAAAAACCCTATGAAGTGTATGGTACTACTATTATGTCTTCAACTCATTGCTTTGTTGCTGAAAAGTATTGAATTTTCTCTCAAATGATCTCTCTGAGCCTTCTTATTTTCCCTCCTTTTTTTTTTTTTTTTTAATTGGAATGAACAGTGTTGCTGGTTGGTTTCCTTGAGCTGTATTAGTTGCTGCTTATTGGGTTTCTCCTATTTAGTAATATGTTTGAAACTCTGCGTATCTGCTTATTTATGAGGAAAAATGTAAAGTTCTATTTCTTGTTGAAGGGCCTGCTCCGTTTGGTTCCAGTTGGGTCAAACACTACTGCATGTATCGGAAAGCAGCCAAGAAGTTCAACATAATCCCATTTGAGCACAGATCTGGGGGAAAACTTGTAAGTATTTGATTATATATTATGTATTCTATGTGAGAGGTAGTTTTTGAGGCTGACATTTTATTGATTTATTGATTTTATTTATTTACTTGAGAGAGAGACAGCACGAGCAGGGAGGGGACAGAGGGAGAAGCAGACTCTCCCTTTGGCAGGGAGCCCAACATGGGACTCAGTCCCAGGACCCTGGGATCATGACCTGAGCCAAAGGCAGACGCTTAATCGACTGAACCACCCAGGTGCTCGAGGCTGACTTTTTTTTAAAGATTTTTATTTATTTATTTGACAGAGAGAGAGACAGAGAGAGAGGGAACACAAGCAGGGGAAGTGGGAGAGGGAGAAGCAGGCTTCCCGTGGAGCAGGGAGCCCGATGCGGGGCTCGATCCCAGGACCCTGGGATCATGACCTGAGCCGAAGGCAGACGCTTAACGACTGAGCCACCCAGCCGCCCCCGCAAGGCTGACATTTTAATGGTGTTTATATTCTCTAATGATAAATACATTATATTTTGGTTTTAGGATTAAAATCTTTGTTTTCTTTTGTTTCTAAATAAAGTAGGCCAGTAAACAACAATTCTTGTGGTTTTTAAATTGTATGTATGGGTTTTTATGGTCAGGACTAGAATCCTTTTTATGTCACTGTTCTTGAAGGATAAAGTGAACACTTAAAACGAGCTTTCACAACTCAGTGTTCTGTCAGGTTAGTATTTACAAAGATCTGATATGCACACATGTATTCACAGCCTGAAAACTTTCTACGGTAGATAGTCTGTAATGAATTTTATTGTTTTCCATTTAGACTTACAAAGTTCTCACTTAGGCAGTTCCCAGTTAACTACTCCTCCACAGAAATAAATAGCAAAACAACATGTGATAGCAAGAGGACCTCAGGAATTGTCTGTGTAGGAAAGATGATTGTTATTTGGGTTTTAAATAGAAATTGCCGCTCATAGCAATAATCGATAGTCTGGAGGCAAAGCTCTTCTTCCAATATTGAACATAATTGGTAACGCATTAAAAAAAAGGGGGAAGTCATTGCTTGCTGGGTATGATTTTGCTTAGGTGAATACAGAATTGACCCAAGTTCACTTCTATTTACATATACTTTGCATCTTACTGAAAAATATTTATAAAGCAGCTTATAATACAGACATAGTTTTGTAATAATGAAAGAGACATGGAAAATCAGGGCCACGGAGAAGAGGAGGAAGTGAGGAAATCACTCGTAAAGGCTGATGGGATTAAGATTGAGCATGAGGTTTGGGTTTGAGATTCCTGTCAGGACTAATTCAAATGCTAAGACATGTCTGCTTAGTGATGTCTCTCTGTTTAACGACCACATAATAAAAAATACACTTCGGAATATAATGACTGTGACAATTTGAATATTGGCATATTTGAATGTTTAATATTACGTGGAGATTCTCCTATTTTAGAAAATGTAAGAATGTTCTAGAAGTAGGTACTCAGAGGTTTTCTAGTTCTTTACTCAGAACCTGTGTTCCTGCATTGCTTCTACCTCCCTTGGATGGTTTAGTGAGGTAAAACAGTACCATATTAAAACAAATTAAGTAAATATGAATTCAGGGTGATCCACTCCGGAAACAAAACCCACGTTGATTGAGTGGCTCTAGCTTTCTATGATCACAGCAGTTGCTCTAGGGCCTTCCAATATGATACCTTTTAGGTATTTTCATATGGAATTGAAGTTTTTATAGGTCAAAAATGGTCACACATTGGTACGCCTGGGTGGCTCAGTCTTTAAGCGTCTGCCTTCGGCTCAGGTCATGGTCCCAGGGTCCTGGGATCATGCCCCACATCGGGCTCCCTGCTCTGCGAGAGTCCTGCTTCTCCCTCTCCCACTCCTCTTGCTTGTGTTCCCTCTCTCACTGTGTCTGTGTCTGTCAAATAAATAAATAAATAAATTTTTTTTTTAAAGAAAAAGGTCACACATTGCCTATTTTATATGGTGTAACATAGTATGAATTAAAAACAAATTATTCCTTTAAAAAGTGCAGTAAGAGAATAGCAAATATTCTGGCTTGTGGAAACTGTGTTGTTAGTCTGCCTTTTAAAATCAGTGCTCACGAGGTCTGGTTTAGTGTTACTGTAATCAAAGCAAGATCTAGAAAACCTAAGGAAAAGAGGATGACAAAAATGATTAAGATTATAAATAGGGATGCCTATTTATAATCGGTTAATCAGTCGGTTAAGTGTCTGCCTTTGGCTCAGGTCATGATCTCCGGGTCCTGGGATCAAGCCCCATGTTGGGGTCCCTGCTCAGTAGGGAGTCTGCTTCTTCCTCTTCCTCTGCCCTGCTCGTGCTCACTCGCTCTCTCTCTCTCTCAAATAAATAAATAAAATCTTAAAAAGATTATAGTGTTTAAACAAACTTGTTTGAAAGAGAATAGGATAAAGGGACTTAAAATCTTGAACCTTGGGGTACCCCCCTCCCCAATATAGGGCTCTTTAGTGTGTCTATGTTTATATTGTAGTTTTTGAGTATGTTTAAAATGATTATTTTCAGGGGGATGGAGAGGTGTTCTTTTTGAAAGAATGTACCAAGAGGCATACTGACTCCATTGACAGAAGATTTTGTTTTGATGTAGAAGCTGCTGACCGGTAAGTTATTAGAATTCTTGCACTTAATGAAAGAGTCCTATAAAAGATGATTTAAAAAATGGAGGTTAATTGAAACTGAGATTTCCTTGGCCTGAAAGAATGTTATTTTGTTACATTTCCAGGCTTTGTATTCATTTTGACCTGTTTAGTCTTTGTCTCTGTGTTTAGCTATGGAGTGATAGCTTGATCTTGGCTGGAGTTCAAAGTCCTTCTAAATAGTAATTAAAAATTACCTTGGAGCATTTCATTGTTGATCCAAGCCTAATTGTGGCACTGAAAGAATAATGAATGAAAGTGAAGCAGTAGGTGACAAAGCTGACAAGAGATGGTGGGTTGTTAATACAGAACAATATTCATTTTCGTGTGTGGGAATTTTCGGTGTGTGTATTCTGTATGTGATGGAGGCTCATAGGCAAACTGTTTATTTAAAGACTGCTTAAATTTTTCCCTTGTCTTATCTTTTCCCTTGTTGTATGACTTTCAGTTATTATGAAAGAATCTTTGCCAGAGAGGAGGAAATAAAGAAAGAAAAACATTCCTCCGATAATATTACTACTTCTCTGGAATTTATCTCTGTATCCTCCTGTCGTACTGAGGAAAATCTTGGTATTTATAGAATATTTCTTTCATAATGTCTGATAGTATGGTGGTTCCTTGCCAGTCCTGGTCTTGGCAACACTGGTCTTTAGATAAGGCTATTTCATAGTTGTATAACAAAAGTTTACAAGATGAGATTTCTGTAACAAAAGTTCATTTCGGGTCGGGATCCACGAATACAAAAATAATTAATGCTACCTCTTCCCTCAGATGATGGAACCGAGTCTGTGGGGTGGATGCAGAGAGGAAGGAGCTTTGCTTTCCTTTCCAGTAAATTAACTGAAGACCACATACATAAAAGTGTGCCACTAGGTGCCATGATAAATTTGGCATTACCATGAGAAAGGTAGTTTAACATGCATTTTTGCCAAGACTGAAAAAAAAATGAAAGAGAATGTCATTGTGGAAGAGGTCCAATTTCAGGCCAGTAAGGACTAATTCAGAGACTTTAAGAAGAGATTCAGGCTGTGTCGTACAGCTGGAGCATCTGTGGGCATCTACCCAGAGTAGGCATTTACTGAGTTAGTGCTAAGTACTCTAAATTCTTCTGTGCTTTCTGTCATTGAATCCTCACCATAGCCCTGTTAGGCAGGTATCATCCTTCCCATTTTATGATGGGAATCCGGGCCATAGAGAGCTTAGGTGATTCTCCCAAGGGCATGGAGTTGTAAGTGGAAGGGCTGACATTTGAACACCTGTGTTCCACCTGCAAAGCCCGTTCTGCCTCTCACCCACTACACCGTAAGTCTGAGTGTTACCGTGTAATTGTGACATTCCCTAAATAACTGACAAAGGTGTGTCAGCAGTGATGTCTACTAGAAAATGTGTTTAATGGGGTTAATCTGATTTGCTTTGAAAATAGGATACTTCTAGTGCTTTCATATATTGCTCTAGTATAGTGTGTATTGTTTTTGCCTAACCCCGTATTTTCTCTAAGACTTGATCATGCCAAATGCACTTGGTCAACAATGATCCTTATTATGATGGTAAACACTTTCCACCCCTCACAGAGATTGACCAGGGATTACCGTGGAGTTATTTTCGCCTATATGGGATAACACCTTATAAATAGACTCTGATACAGTGAGCCCTGTGAATTGTGTAAGACTGTTGAATCACAGACCTGTACCTCTGAAACAAATAATACATTATATGTTAAAAAAAAAAAAAAAGCAGGTAGGGAAAAATGAAGGAGGGGAAATCGGAGGAGGAGAGGAACCATGACTATGGACTCTGAGAAACAAACTGAGGGTTCTAGAGGGGAGGAGGGTGGGGGGATGGGTTAGCCTGGTGATGGGTATTAAAGAGGGCACGTACTGCATGGAGCACTGGGTGTTATACACAAACAGTGAATCGTGGAACACTACATCAAAAACTAATGATGTAATGTATGGTGATTAACATAACAATAAAAAAAGGAAAAGAAAAAAATAGACTCTGAGAATGGTGGGGGGCAGACTTTAGAGATGATCTATTCTAGTGGGTTTTATTTTATTTATTTTTTTAAAGATTTTATTAATTTATTCGACAGATAGAGAGCACAGTAGGCAGAGTGGCAGGCAGAGGGAGAGGGAGAAGCAGGCTCTCCGCTGAGCAGGGAGCCAGACATGGGGCTCGATCCCAGGACCCTAGGATCATGACCTGAGCCAAAGACAACCGCTTAACTGACTGAGCCACCCAGGCACCCCTATTCTAGTGGTTTTTAAACTGCTTTATAGGGAGACCCTCTTTTCAAATAAAATTTTACGTTTATGTATATGAGAAACAACCAAAAAAGAGAGTTCCCTTATTGAAGAAGGGTAAGCAGCCTGGAGCCCTACTTTTTCAGCTTCTTTCTTCTTGTAGACATCTCTAATTTACTTCTGCTGACACCCAGTGCTTCTTTCTGGGAAATCGTGGTAGGGGGACCATTAATCTAGTCTAGATAGATGGTTGAAGAAAGGCATATGGAGGACCTGACGTCTAGTTGATGACTGATGGATTATTTGGAGTCCGCTGTGATTGAGACTCCTATTCCAGGCAGAGTGAATAGCTCATGTGAAGGCCTGGAGTCAAGGGAGAACATGGCCCATTTGAGGTCCCCAGAGACACTAGCAACACTGGAGTAGCCAGAAAGAGTAGGAGAAGAGGCTTGAGATGGAGGCAAGGGCCTGGCATTGAGGTTTTTTAGGTTAATCCATTAAATGGCTTTAAGTCGAGTAGTGAGTGATAAATTTATCTTTTTCAGAACTCACTCTGGCAGAGTAGAGAAAGGTCTGCAGGTGGCATGAATAGATGAAAGGGCCCTGGATTAATGTTGGTAGCAGTGGGAATGGAAGCTAAGGGATCCATTTGAGGGAGATGTTGAGAGCTAAATTTAGAGACAAATTGGATGTTGGAGTATAGAGTGAAGGAGGGGAAGGTTTGGCTTAAGCAACTAGGTAGTGCCATTTACTAAGATGGAAAACCAAGGAGGCCCGAGGATGGAGGACAATGAATTCACCTGTGGTCATGTTGAATTAGATTGCTGTGGGTCATTCAGTAAGAAACCCGGTGGGAGATTGGGTGCAGCACTTGGCAGCTTTGGCAGCATTTGACCTACATGACTGAATCATGCTCGTTGCCCAAAATTTCTTGGACCTCTCCATTTTCAGCTATTGCTTTTTAAATGTTATTTCCTGTGGCTGTCCTTTCTTTCTCTGTCCATTCAGATGGTTTCATCCTCAAAGTGAATAACTCTGCAGTCTGTATTTTTCTTTTTTTTTTCTGTTTTTTTGAGCTGCTTTTAGAATCTTTAGCTCCTTACACAGTATATCTCCAATTCCACTCCTTTTAAAATTCTTGGTGATTTCACTACCGCTTGAGAGGATTTTTTTTAGTACTTTGCTTCTTGACTCCTGGAACTCCTCTCCTTTGGTCATCTTGTCCTTTACCCTACCTCAGCCATTCACTCTCACAGTCATTGCTTAGGTCTTGTCATTACAAGGACCGGCAACCGTTCTAGAATCTCAGCCGCAAGCCTTTCTCTTTCCGACATCACCTTCTATCCTTCTCTGCTTTTTTCCTAGTAAGTATCCTGAGAGTTTCTCTAATTAGTTGAGCCTATTGTTACTCAGTTTCTTACACCCTCACTTCATTCCTCACCTGGTTTTAATTTCATAGTCAATCTTTTAAATATGCTCTGTTGTCTTTCTCTTCCTTTATTAGACTTGCTGGTACAACCCCAACTTAAGTAAGAGTCACCTCTGCCTTCCCTCTTCCTAGAGAGGCATATTTAACCATGTTCACTGGGATCACTTCAGATTCATGACCACTAACCTCAAATGAGCCATTAATTCTAACCACTAATTATGTTACATTTTCTAGTTCCTTTATTCTCCTGGTTGATGAATATTTTATATATTTCTCTTTCTGAGCCTCTGACACTGCCTCTTTCCTGATAATTTTGTGTCCTATTTTGTTGTGACTGTAGAAGCAAGCAACGAGAAGAGATCATCCACTGCCATAAACACCCACTCCATCACCGTGCCCAGACACCTTGCCCTTCTTCCATCTCTGTAAGCTGTGTTCCTGAGCCTCTCTGTTCATTTGTCTCTCATCCTGTCCCTGCTACTCCACAGTATCACTCAAGCAGTCTTCTTTCTTGTTAACCTGAGGGTTGCCCTTTCTACTGGATTATTCTTATCACACAAAATACTCTTTTTTCATCGGAAAAAATGCCCCCACCATCACCCGTAAGAGACAGTCTTCCCTTTTGTCTGTTGCCCATTTCTCTCCTCTAGGAAACAAAAAACTTCTTCGAACGCTGTTATATTAAGGTCTCATTTTTTCTTCCTCCTATTCTCTTTTGACCCCTCTCCAGTCTGGCCTTTGTCTCTCCTCTCCACTGTGGTTGTGTTTGTCAAGCTGTCATGATCTCCATGTGCAACGTCCAATGGTCAGCTGTCCTGTCCTTCCTCTTCTTTGTTGGCAGCAGCATCTGACATGGCCAGTCACTCTCCTCCATGACCTACTTGCTTCACTTCTTCTAGAACATCATACCTGCCTGTTCGTTTTCTCCCACCCCACTGGCTTTTCAATTCTTAAACTCAATTACAGCTTCTTATTTCCCAGACCTCTTGATGTTGGAGTTCTCTGATGTTCATCTTAGAGCTCTTCTCCTCGTTCTCACCCTTAGGATCTTGTCCAGCCTCATGGTTTTAAATGCCATCCTTATGTTGGTAACTCCGACATTTATTATCTCTACTTAGATCTTTTCCCTGAATTTCAGGTTCTTATCTGGCTGCCTACTCAGTGTTCTCAGTATTGTTTCTGTGATGCATTTTGAACAGTGCGGAGGTGGGAGATATTGTTTGTTTTGTAAATTTTCCCATTTTGTAAATTCTGGGAACAAAAACGGTCCCTTTATAGGATCTAACATTTTA